AACCCTAAACCAGGCCTCAGCCCTGATCCCAGCCTCAGTCGGAAACCTATCTTAAGCCGTAATGCTTAACCGAGCCTCAGCCCAACCCTAACTCCAGCCTCAGACCTAGCCCGAACCCTAACCTCAGACCAACCCGAACCCTAGAGTCACCCCTAACCCTAGATTCAACCCTAGACCTAACCCTAGACTCAGCCGTAACCGTAACCCTATCTGCAGCCCTAACGCAATCCCTAGCCTCAGCCCTAACCCTAAACCTAACCCGAGCCTCAGCCCTAATCCTCACCCTAACCCTAGCCTTGACCATAATACTAACTCTAACCCTACTCTCAGCCCTAACCCTCGCCTCGGCTTAAACCTAATGCTCACCCTAAACCTAGACTCTGCTCGAACCCTAACCCTAATACGAGCTTCAGCCCAACCCTAACTGTAGCCTCAGCACTAGCCCGAACCCTAACCACAGCCCTAACCAGAAACTGAGCGTCAGCCTTAACCCTAACCCTGGATTCAGCCCCAGAACTAAGGCTAGCCTCAGCCGTAACCCTAACCATATCCTCAGCTCTAACGCTAACTCTAGCCTCAGGCGTAACTCTGACCCCAGGCATCAACCCGAACACTAGCCATATTGCTAACCATGGCCTCAGACCAAGCTCTAAACCTAACCCTAACCCTAGCCTTCGCAAAAATCCTCACCCTAAACCTAGCCTCAACTCTAACCCTAACCATAACACTAGCCTCAGCCCTAACCCTAAACCAGGCCTCACCCTAATCCCAGCCTCAGTCCTGAACCTACCTTCAGCCCTAATGCTAAACCTAGCCCCAGCCCAACCCTAACTCTAGCCCGAACCCTAACCTCAAACCAACCCGAAACCTAGCATCAGAACTCACCCTAACCCTAGCCTCAGCCATAACAGTAGCCCTATTATCAGCCCTAAAGCTAACCCTAGCCTCAGCCTTAACCCTTAAACTGACCGTAGCCTCAGCCCTAATCCCAGCCTCAGTCCTAAGCC